GGATATAGCTCACTCACAACGATGACATATCCACGTCATCTTTTACCCAGAATGCTTTGAGTGTAAATAAAATGGCTCCGTCCGTGTTAAAATATATTTTTAAAAATTTACAAAACTAAACAGCCTACAGTATTTTTACAGTCTTTATTTTACAGTTAAAATAAACGTTTATTGAATAAAGTCTAATGTTACAATTAATAGTGGATCCCTTTAAGGTTTCAGCCTGAGTGAGATCCTGATTTCCTTTGATTCTTCTAACTGTAAACGTACTGATGGCTGATCTGCTGCAGGTAAGATYCTGACTGTTTTTTCAAAGCTTAATAACACCTTTGATGTGCAGTAATTATCGTTAACCCAGAGTTCCACACAATCAGATCAGTGCTTGTAAAGTTGGGTTCACCACAGACAACATCAAACCCTGCAGTTCTGGACTCTGGTCTCACTGCGATGGTGCAGAGGTCAGGGCTCATCAGCACTCAGGGTCTCTGAACCTGGTCCTGGTCCATGTCTTCCTGTCGCCCCCCGAACACCGACACCAAGTCCTTCACACTACTAGCCATACGAGACTTGTCCTCGTCCTCCTGCCTCTTCGTCCTCGTCTTCCTCGGGTTGGTGCTGAGACTCTTGGATCGTAGCGTTGGGTACATCCTGCCCTCGTCCACCAGAAGCCCCTCCTCCTCCTCACTGTTACCATGACTTTCGCTCTCCTGGCAAGGCTGGGTGCAGACGATGCTGCTGGTGGACTTCCTCCTGCCGAGGTTTGGAGACAACGAGTGCTGCGTGACCTTTGACCTCTCCAGGGGAAAGGACACTGCAGCCTCCAGTTGYCTCTTTTGTGCCAGCCTGTCCTTTGGGTCAGCCTGAGCTGGACTGGGGCAGGTGTGGGGGTGCTTGTGGTCGGGGTCGCAGGGGGAAATGAAGATGTCAACGTTYGACAGAGACTGAGTCCTGTTCTTCACACCAACATCTAGAGTTGAAACAATGTCCCTCACATCACCTGAGAAGAAAACGTTCAGACAAACATCATTTGTGTGGTTCAGATTCTGCTCAGGCCTGAAGAACTGCAAACAAAACTGACTCCAAGAAGATGAGAGTGAAAAGAATTATCTGTCTCATTTGTCTCAACGTGTCCCTGAGATGGACTCATGTCCAAAATGTCCCCTGCTTCTCACACAGTGACAGCTCCCAGAGAGAAAAAAGAAAAATGGATGGATGGATGGATGATGGATGGATGATGGATGGAGAGATGGATGGATGGATGATGGATGGATGATGGATGGATGGATGATGGATGATGGATGGATGGATGATGGATGGATGGATGAATGGAGAGATAGATGGATGGATGGACGGATGGATGGATGATGGATAGATGGATGGATGAATGGATGGATGGATGGATGATGGATGGATGATGGATGGATGAATGATGGATAGATGGATGGATGGAGAGATGGATGGATGGAGAGATGGATGGATGGATGGATGATGGATGGATGGATAAATGGATGTATGATGGATGGATGGATGGATGGATGATGGATGGATGATGGATGGATGGATGGATGGATGGAGAGATGGATGATGGATGGATGATGGATGGGTGGATGATGGATGGATGGATGGATGGAGAGATGGATGATGGATGGATGGATGATGGATGGATGGATGGATGGATGGAGAGATGGATGGATGGATGGATGATGGATGGATGGATGATGGATGGATGGATAGATGGATGTATGATGGATGGATGGATGGATGGATGGATGATGGATGGAGAGATGGATGATGGATGATGGATGGATGGATGGATGATGGATGGGTGGATGATGGATGGATGGATGGATGGATGGATGGATGATTGATAGATGGATGGATGTATGATGAATGGATGGATTATGGATGATGGATGGATGATTGATGGATGATGGTTGGATGGATGGATGATGGATGGATGATTTATGGCTGATGGCTGGATGGTTGGATGGATGTATGATGGATGTATGATGGATGTATGTATGATGGATGATGGATGAATAGATGGATGATAGATGGATGATTGATGGATGATTGATAGATGGATGAATAGATGGATGAATAGATGGATGATTGATGGATGATGGATGGATGAATAGATGGATGTATGATGGATGTATGATGGATGTATGTATGATGGATGATGGATGAATAGATGGATGATAGATGGATGATTGATGGATGATTGATAGATGGATGAATAGATGGATGAATAGATGGATGATTGATGGATGATGGATGGATGAATAGATGGATGTATGATGGATGTATGATGGATGGATGATTGATGGATGATTGATGGATGAATAGATGGATGATGGATGGATGATTGATGGATGATTGATAGATCTCTAACAGAACCTATCACAGTAAAACTCAAACATCAGTAAAGCACAAAATTTGATGAGTCATGGTTCTGGACCCACCTGCTGTGTGTCCTCCCTCAGATGGTCCTTTTCTCTCTGGACTCACGTTGACTCGTTTGTCCTCCGTCTCTGCAGACGTTCTGTCATCGTGGTCCAGCTGGTACCGGTACAGGCTGTAGCCGTCGGCGCTGTTGATGCTGCCGAATCTCAGCAGAGAAGACGGCTCGCACACGGACGATCCTCTGGAGCGGGTACGGACCAGCTCAGCCCGGTCCACGCCGGCCAGCTTCTCCAGAGCGTTCATCACGCGGCCGGAGAACTCCTCCAGCTGGGCCAGGCGGAGGTCCACCGTCTGCAGGGAGGCCTTCATGGAGTGCTCCCTCTCATTCACCTCCTCCAGACGCATGAACATGTTCTCCACCCTGAACACACGACAGCAGTCCTGACTGAACTCAGAGCAGTGAGGAGTCGTCACAGAGAAAAACTGATGTAAAGCTTTGTGTCTTGTCTCTACTGACCCTGTCACAATATATCAGTTTAAACCAGAGGTTCTTAACCTTTCTGACACGAGGCCCAGTCAGACATTACCAATG